ATGATGATGAATCCATGAAACATCTCACAACATGGATGAATCTGGAGGACATCATGCTGAGTGAAATAAGTCAATCATAGGAGGACAAATATTGTATGAGACAATTATTATAAAAGGTTTTAAAAAGTTTACACACAGAAAGTAACATTCTTTGATGGTTACCAGGGATGGGAGGAGGAGGGAGGAAAAACACCAACTAGATAGTAGACACATGTTAAATGTGGTGAAGGAAAAGGCAATACACAATATGGGGGAAATCAGTACAACATGACCAAGGCAAAGAAAGACACTGAGAGGTATGCAAAAATAAAAGGCAACTATGCTAAATACTGTAACACATACAACCCTGCAGCAATAGTAATAACAAACAATAATTTATGAGTGGATACATAGGCAGATATGTATGCTGAAAAGTTATGGGAGGGCGTACGAAAGTACATCTGTGTGCATATATAGACTAAGTTGTGGATATTTCTACATACATATTCATATGTGCAGCATGTATAGTCATATATACAATGGTGCATACAGGGAGCACATTCAGGGAAACTTCTTAGACATAACCAAACACTTTTCAGGACTGAGTTACTGGGCTTAGGGCTGGGGACCATAGTCTCGGGGGACATCTAAGTCAGTTGGCATAACATAGCTTATAAAGTCAATGTTCTACATCCTGCTTTGGTGAGTAGCATCTGGCGTCTTAAAAGCTTGAGAGCAGCCATCTAAGATACAACTACTGATCACTTTCCATCTGGAGCAAAGGAGAGTGAAGAAAACCAAAGACTCAAGGAAGTAATTAGTCCAAAGGACTAATGGCCCACATGAACCACAGCCTCTACTAGCCTAACATCAGAAGAACTAGATGGTGCCCAGCTACTACCACCAACTGCTCTGACCAGGATCACAATAGAGGGTTCCAGACAGAGCAGGATAAAAATGTATAACAAAACTCAAACTCCTAAAAAAGACCAGACTTACTGGTCTGATAGAAATTGGAGAAACTCCCGAGACTATGGCCCTTAGACACCTATCTAACTTGGATCTGAAGCCACTCCCGGAGGTCACCTTTCAGCCAAATAACACACAGGCCTATAAAATAAACAATAACACCTGTGAGGAAAGTGCTCTTTAGAACAATCAATTATACGAGACCAAAAGGGTAACATTTGCCCAAAAGCAAAGATGAGAAGGCAGGAAAGGGCAGGACAAGCAGATGAATGGAAATGGGGAACTCAGGGTGGAAATGGGGAGAGTGCTGACACATTGCAGGGATTGCAACCAACGTCACAGAACACTTTGTGTATAAACTATTGAATGGGAAACTAATTTACTCTGTAAACTTTCATCTAAAGCACAATAAAAAAAGACGACAACGACAATGGAGCAATGTCTACAAATTCTGAGGGAAAGAAGTGTGATTCAAGAATATAATATATAACCAAGATATCAGTAAGTATAAAGGCACTGGGCAGATAGATGTTCTTAACATGAAAGAATACAATAAATATAGCACCCAGAAGCCCTTCTTGAAAGAACTTCTGAATAATAAAACCCAGACAATCACAAAATTAATCCAAGTGAAGAGTTCAGGACCAGAGAATCCATGGCGCAAGGCCTGTTGTAAGCATACAATTCTCTTAAATATGAAACTAAGACAAAACAAACAGAACAAGCAGATGATTTATGGCTGCAGAACAGAATGTAAATGCTATAAACCCTGACAAAGTAAAAATAATTTAAGTAAAAAAAACAAGAATAGGGGAAAAGACAAAGAAATACGAGAAAGCTAATCTCATTGTTCATAGCAGAGTCCACCAATAATGTTCAATATTGAAACAGGTAGAGTAAAAAAAGACTGACTAACCATTTGACTCAGCAATTCAATTCCTAGCTTTATACCCAATGGAAACAGAAACAAATGTCCATGCAAAAGCTTGTACTCAAATGTTCATAGCAGCATTATTTATAATACCCCAAAAGTAGAAACAACCTAAATGCCCATTAATTGATGAACGGACAAGCAAAATGTTGTATCTGTGCAATGGAATATTATTTGGTCATAAAAAAGAATGGAATACTGATATACGCTACAATATGGATGAACCTTGAAAACATTATGCTAAGTGTAAGAAGCCAGACACAAAACATCACATATTATATGATTCAATTTATATGAAATATTCAGAATAGGCAAATCTATAGAAACAGAAAATAGATGAGTGGTTTCTTAGGGCTGGGGAGGCTGAGAGGTTTGGAGGATGATATCTAAGGGGCATAGGGTTTCTTCTAGAGGTGATGAAAATGTTCTAAAATTGATAGTGGTGATAATTCCACAACTCTGAATATACTAAGAACACTGCATTATATACTATAAATGGGTGAATTGTATGGTATGTGAATTATTTCTCAATGAAGCTATTACAAAAAATCATTAGAAAAGAAATGACAGTGCTATGGTTTTTGTAATATTCTTCTTTTTATTGTGCTTTAGGTGAAAGTTTGCAGCTCAAGTTAATTTCTCATACAAAAATTTATACACATATTATTATGTGACACTCGTTACAATCCCTACAATGTGACAGCACACTTCCTCTTTCCACCTCAGGTTTCCTGTGTCCATCCAGCCAGCTCCTGTCCCTTCCTGCCTTCTCATCCTGCCTCCAGAAAGGAGCCACGCATTTGGTCTTGCACATCTGCTTGAAGTAGAAGCATGCTCTTCACAAGTATCATTTTATGTTTTATAGTCCAGTCTAATCTTTGTCTGAAGAGTGGGCTTTCGGAATGATTTTAGTTCTGGGTTAACAGAGTGTCCAGGGGTCATGGCTTTGAGGGTTCCTCCAGTCTGTCAGACCACTAAGTCTGGTCTTTTTGCATCAATTTGAGTTCTGCTCCACACTTTTCCCCTGCTCCGTCAGGGACTCTCTGTTGTGTTCCCTGTCAGGGTGGTCACTGATAGTAGCTGGGCACCATCTAGTTCTTCTGGTCTCAGGTTGATGGAATCTCTGGTTTATGTGGCCCGTTTGTCTCTTGGGCTAATATTTTCCTTGTGTCTTGGTGTTCTTCACTCTCTTGCTCCAAGTGGGTTAGGACCAACTGATGCATCTTAGATGGCCGCTCGCAAGCTTTTAAGACCCCAGACGCCACTCACCAAAGTGGGATGCAGAACATTTTCTTAATAAACTTTGTTATGTCAATTGACCTAGATGTCCCCTGAAACCATGGTTCCTAGATCCTGGCCCCACCTACTCTGTCCCTCAAAGTGTTTGGTTGTGTTCAGGAAACTTCTTAGCTTTTGGTTTAGTCCACTTTTGTTGACTTCCCATATATTGTGTGTTGTCCTTCCCTTCAACTAAAATGATTCTTGTCTGCTATCTAGTTAGTGAATTCCCCTCTCCTTCCCTCCCCACCCTCGTAACCATCAAAGAATGTTTTCTTCTGTGTTTAAACCTTTTCTTGATTTCTTATAATAGTGGTTTCATACAGTATTTGTCCTTTTGCAACTGACTAATTTCACTCAGCATAATGCCTTCCAGATTCACGCATGTTGTGAGATGTTTCGTGGATTCATCATTGTTCTTTAATGTTGCATAGTATTCCATTGTGTGTATGTACCATAATTTGTTTATCCATTTGTCTGCTGATGGGCACCTAGGTTGTTTCCATCTTTTTGCTATTGTGAACAGTGCTGCAATGAACATGGGTGTGCATATATCTATTCATGTGATAGCTCTTATTTCTCTAGGATATATTCCAAGGAGAGGGATTGCTAGATCATATGGTACTTCTATTTCTAGCTTTTTAAGGAAGTGTCAAATTGATTTCCAAAGTGGCTGTACCATTTTACATTCCCACCAACAGTGTATAAGTGTTCCAGTCTCTCCACAACCACTCCAGCATTTATTATTTTGTGTTTTTTGGATTAGTGCTAGCCTTGTTGGGATGAGATGATATCTCATTGTAATTTTGATTTTCATTTCTCTAATGGCTAATGATTGTGAGCATTTCTTCATGTATCTGTCAGCTGCCTAAATATCTTCTTTGGCAAAGTGCCTGTTCATATCCTTTGCCCATTTTTTAACTGGCTTATTTGTCTTTTTGTTGTTGAGGTTTTGCAGTATCTTGTAGATTTCCAAAGTGGTTGTACCATCTTACATGCCCACCAGAAGTGCATAACTGTTCCAGTCTCTCCACAACCTCTCCAACATTTATGATTTTGTATTTTTTTTAATATTTCTTCTTAAAATTAGAGTGATATTAACGATGAATAACTTTTATGGTGAAGAAACATTTGTCTGAAGATTAGTAATTCAATTTTATTTCAATGTTTTATTCTTTTAAATTCAAGAAAAATTAAAAAGAATGCTTTTAATTTAATATAGTATGATCCAACACTGTAAACATTTTTTCAGTCTATCTAGCCATCCATACCTTTTACTGTATATATGCATAGAAGATATCTGAGATGATTTTCACACAATGTGAATACAAAAACCAGAAATTTGAGTGATTTGTTACTTTCCTCTTTGTTGTTTCCTGTACTGGTTACATTTCAATGAGTACGTGTTATTTTTATCTTTTTCAAATTGTTCCTATGAACCAAACCCACTGCTGTCAAGTTATTTCCAACTCATAGTGAACCCATAGGGTTTCCAAGGCTGTAAACCTGTACGGAAGCAGGCTGCGGCACCTTTCTCCTGTGGAGCCACTGGTGGGTTTGAACTGCCAACCTTTCAGTTAGCAGCTGACCACTTTAACCACTGTGCCACAGAGGCTCCTCGTTCTTATGAAGGACAAAGTAAATATGTTAAAATGTTAACGATTACCCGTGAGTAGTAGGATTAAGAGTGATTTTTCCCCCCTTCTTTACTCTTTTCTGTGTTTTCCAAATTTTCCTATAATGAGCAACTATTATTTTATAAATAGAAGAAAGTGAAAAATAATAATAATAAAAGAATTAAAGGGATATGTAGCATTTCTTTAAATGATTACTTGGTTCCTACCTGTACTCTTTCTGTCGCTCCTGAGCGAACTTTCTTCCTGGCCAGATATCGCCAATCTGTGACTGATGCAGTAGGGACTGTCCCACTGTCTCTCTTTTATTCACTTTAAGACAAACAAAAGCATGGCAGGAGGGTAGTGATGAGGGGTGAAAAGGGAAAGAATCCCCATATAATCTCCCTTTAAACATACCACGCTTGTAGAATGGATGGCAAAACAATCTTTTATGCTCCCCCCCCGCACAAAACCAACTGAGCCTATGGAATAAGAACACACTAAGATTCCACACCAGAGGCTCTATCACTGATGTTAAGCACCTCAGGGAATCATCTCCAGACATGCCCAGTACCTGCAGGTTTGTGGCGCAGGGACATTCTAATTATCTCACTGCCAGTGCGGTAATCAAAGCGATTCACTTTCTGGTCATAAAACCAGTCTCCAGTTGCCTTCTTTAGCTCTCTGAGAAGGAATACAAGAAAATGACAGATATTAAGAATGTCTCTTGTTACTCAACCAACAAAGACCAAGGGAATAAATCCTCACCACAGCTGGGGCCTCATTTCCTCTCTTTGCACACCCACAGGTGACACTCACATTTCCTTGGCACACACTTTGCACCTCCAGGTACCATTGCTTTCCTGGACACAACAGTCCCGACACACCAGGTGATTACAACCCCGACAAGTGTTGGTCTTGGGAGTCAAACGGCCCAGGCTCTCCTGGCACCGGGCACAGGTCCGATCACTGTAGTGTTGGCTGCCCCTCTTGGCCCCTTTCCTTTTAATCTCCAGCAACTCATTCTTCAGTCTCCTGCCAAGACCCAAAAGACAAGCACAACTGGATTCACAATCTGCATAAGCTAGAGGGAGAGGGGTTATGGGGTAGACACAGTAAGACTAATTGGTTCTGTCAAAGTGACAAACTCAGAGCCCAACATGAACCAATGAGGAGTTGTAAACCTCATATACACAAGTTCTTCTGAAAATCAGATGAGAGATATACAAGGAAAATCCCATATTATCATTGGTCAAGAGCCTGGGAACCCACACTTTTTCTGGGACTCTTACCTAATCCTTTTCTCATCAGCTTTCCGGAGCTCCTCATCTCGCTGTAGAACATTGAGTATCAAATCCCTTTCCATGTCTGATAGAAAAGAGAGGTCAAGTATCTCTGACATGACTTATTCTATGTTTTCGTATTCTCTTCTTTCTTCAAAGCAACCAGACAGGAGTGCTACCAGAGTTGTCTGAAATAAGATAACAATTAATTTTACACAGATAATTTACTCCAGAATAGGCCTACAGCCCTAGAGCCTTTCAGTAGGCTACTTCCCCACTAAGGAAGGCTAAAGAGACAAAGCAGAAATATTTTACCTACCTACCACTCCTACTCTCACTCCCTCCTGAATTCTGCCCTGAAAATGAAAAGGCTTTGATTTTTTTCAAGAGGAAAGTTATGCACGACTCTGGGAAAGGGTTAATCTTTCAGCATCACCATCTCAGTCTGGAGAGAACATAGAACAGCTGAGCCAAACTCCCCTTCCACCTGGTGGGTCCTCAATCACCCAATTTTTGATACTTGAAAAAAATAATCAGGCAGCTGGTCTCTGTGGTGGAGGAGAAAACTACATGGGGACTCAAGCCAGTTTAAGCCCATTTCTCCATTCCTGACCAGCTTCCATGTTCCCAGGATTCAGTCAGCTTTCTACTACATTTCAAAATTTCCACCACCTACTGCACATCTCAGAGTTCTTATCGCTAACACTATTTCAGGAATATATCCATCCATTTCATGAACATTTGTTGATCACCCACTCTGACAGACATTGTGCAAAGTGCTGGGGATACAGAGATAAGATACAATTCCTGCCCTTAAGAAGTTCACAGAGTTGTAGCAGAGACAGATACGCATAAATACAGTATAATGTACTAAGTGCTATCAGAGGGATTATAAATTAAGTGCTAGGGGAACTTAAAGAAGGAAGTAATTAATTCTATCTTGCACAAAGGGGAGAGAAAGAGCTGTACACATGGAAGGTTTAACAAAGAGATGGCATATAAATTTTGCCTTATGAAAAGAGGAATATTTGTTGATGGGGCAGAACAGTAGGAAAGATAGGTTGGGACCAGATTATATAAATCTCAAATATCCTTAAAAATTAAGAATTTTTAAATTTATTCTATAGACCATAGAAATCTATCAAACATCTTTGGTATTGCTTTGTTTCTAATATTGGGAAATCACACGATCAAATTCATTTTACAAAGATTACTCTAGTTATACTATGGAAGATTGATTCAAAGGACTATTTGAAAGGCAGTTTGGTAGTGGGAATTGATTTGACAGCAGTGGGTTTGGTTGGTACTATCTAACAAATTTTAAAACATGCATATTCCTTAACCAAGCAACACAACTCCTAAAAATCCAACTGTATGCAAGGGTATATGTACAAGAACGTTTGCTGCAACATTCTTTGTAAGGCAAAAAATGTTCAACAGAGGAATCATTAAACAAAATGATACTTCCATATAATGGAATACTATGCATATACTATACATATATACTATATGTATTGACATGAAAATATAAAAAAATGTAGTTTCAGACATTCTTGAATGATCCCTTTGTTAAAATAATATCTATATATTCATTTGTATACGCAAAGGAAGGGTCTGTTGTTGTTAGCTGCCCTTGAGCTGGTTCTGACTCATAGCGACCCTAAGTATAACAGAACGAAACACTGCCTGGTCCTTGCCATTCTCACAATTGTTGTTATGCTTGAGCCCATTGTTGCAGCCACTGTATCAATCCATCTTGTTGAGGGTCTTCCTCTTTTTCATTGACTCTCTACTTTACCAACCATGATGTCCTTCTCCAGGGACTGATCCTTCCTGATAACATGTACAGAGTATGTGAGACGAAGTCTCGCCATCCTTGCTTCTAAGGGGCATTCTGGTTGTACTTCTTCCAAGACAGACTTGTTCATTCTTTTGGCAGTCCGTGGTATATTCAATATTCTTTGCCAACACCACAATTCAAAGGGGTCAATTCTTCTTCTGTCATCCTTATTCATCATCCAGCTTTCACATGCATGTGTGGTGATTGAAAACACCATGGCTTGGGGCAGGCGCACCTTAGTCTTCAAGGTAACATCTTTGCTTTTCAATACTTTAAAGAGGTTTTTTGCAGCAGATTTGCCCAATGCAATGCGTCTTTTGATTTCTTGACTGCCGCTTCCATGGGTGTTGATTGTGGATCCAAGTAAAATGAAATCCTTGACAACTTCAATCTTTTCTCCATTTATCATGATGTTGCTTATTGGTCCAGTTGTGAGGATTTTTGTTTTCTTTATGTTGAAGTGTAATCCATACTGACGGCTGTGGTCTTTGACCTTCATCAGTAAGTGCTTCAAGAACTCTTCACTTTCAGCAAGCAAAGTTGTGTCATCTGCATATTGCAGGTTGTTAATGAGTCTTCCTCCAATCCTGATGCTCCGTTCTTCTTTATATAGTCCAGCTTCTCGGATTATTTGTTCAGCATACAGACTGAATAAGTATGGTGAAAGGATACAACACTGACTCACACCTTTCCTGACTTTAAACCATGCAGTATCTCCTCGTTCGGTTCAAACGACTGCCTCTTGATCTATGGACAGGTTCATCATGAGCACAATCAAGTGTTCTGGAATTCCTATTCTTCGCAATGTTATCCATAATTTGTTATGATCCACACAGTCGAATGCCTTTGCATAATCAATATAACACAGGTTTAATATTTCGCCGTAGAATCCTTCAATATTGCAACTCGAGGCTTGAATTTTTTCTTCAGTTCTTTCAGCTTGAGAAATGCCGAGCATGTTCTTCCCTTTTGGTTTTCTAACTCCAGATCTTTGCACGTGTTATTATAACACTTTACTTTGTCTTCTCTAGCCGCCCTTTGAAATCTTCTATTCAGCTCTTTTACTTCATCATTTCTTCCTTTCACTTTAGCTACTCAACATTCAGGAGCAAGTTTCAGAGTCTCTTCTGACATCCATTTTGGTCTTTTCTTTCCTTCCTATCTTTTTAATGACCTCTTGCTTTCTTCATGTATGATGTCCTTGATGTCATTCTACAACTCGTCTGGTCTTCTGTCATTAGTGTTCAACGCATCAAATCTATTCTTGAGATGGTCTCTAAATTCGAGTGGGATATTCTCAAGGCCATACTTTGGCTCTCATGGACTTGTTCTAATTTTCTTCAGTTTCAACTTGAACTTGCATATGAGCAATTGATGGTCTGTTCCACAGTTGGCCCCTGGTCTTGCTCTGACTGACGATATTGAGCTTTTCCATCATCTCCTCCCACAGATGTAGTCGATTTGATTCCTGTGTATTCCATCCAGCGAGGTCCATGTGTATAGTCACCGTTTACGTTGGTGAAAAAAGGCATTTGCAATGAAGAAGTCACTGGTATTGCAAAATTCTATCATGTGATCTCCAGTATCGTTTCTATCACCAAGGCCATATTTTTCCACTACCAATCCTTCTTTCGCTCCAACTTTTGCATTCCAATCACCAGTAATTATCAATGCATCCCCTGATTGACTGTTTGATCAATTTCAGACTGCAGAAGTTGGTAAAAATCTTCAATTTCTTCATCTTTGGCCTTAGTGGTTGGTGCGTAAATTTGAATAACAGTCATATTAACTGGTCTACCTTGTAGGCGTATGGGTATTATCCTATTCCTGACAGCCCTGTACTTCAGGATAGATCTTGAAATGTTCTTTTTGACAATGAGTGCAATGCCATTCCTCTTCAAGCTGTCATTTCCGGCATAGTGAGCCACATGATTGTCTGATTCAAAGTGGCCAATACCAGTCTATTTCAGTTCAGGGGAGACATACAAAGTGAGAAAAGAAATGATAATGGTACCTACCTTCTCTGCTCTCCCTTGAAACTATACAAGCCTTTTTCACTTTAAATTATTTTCTTCCTAATTATCTACAGGACAAAAGAGAGCATAAACAACACAGCAAAACCATACAGGTTCCTAAAACCTGAACTTTTTCTCAACTTGATCTATACTGAACTATAAGAAGCTAAGCCTCTTTTATAGACCATTTCTTAGACAGTCCTGAGGAAGTCTGCTTAGTTCTTATTTCCATGTAGAGGATATATGCTCCTTGAGAACAAGGACTTTTTTTTTTTTAACAGTTTTCTATGTATCTAGCCTAGCACCTAACACAATATTTGGCACATAGTGTTGCAAATGCTGCCACTATTGTTGATCATCACTGTCATCATCACCCCAGTAGTTCCATTTGTTGCGAATTTACTATATGCCAGTTATATATACATATATTAACTACTTTAATCTTCACAACAACCCCAAGAGTGAGGTATTATTATTATGTCCAATTTACAGATGAGGAGAGACTCAGAAGAGGTTGGTTAACATGGCCAAGAATAAAAAGCAAGTAAGTGAAGTTGCTGGGATTCAAACCCAGGCAATCCAATTCTAGAACTGGCAAACTACTGGCTCCATTCAGGCCAGATCATGGCCAAAGCAATTATAAAACATTGAATACAGCTATCAAGAGCACTGTGGAAATGGATTACTATATGTGTAATTGTGGCTGAAGCATTGACCAAAAATTTCATAGCTCCTGGATAAACAGTTACCACTAGTTACCTGGAAGCTAAAGATCAAAGATAGCATAGGCCCACTGGAAATTGGTACAAAACCTGATTGATTAGAAAACTGGTGCTTGTGGAGAAGCAGTAGGGTTCTGTGATGAGAAAGACACTGGCACAACGATAAGACCAAGTAATATCAAAAGCCAGGATAAGGTTATCCTTGAGGAAATAGAGATAGCACCATAAGAAAATGGAACTGCTAATACTGGACGTCTTCCTTTTATTTTTTATTCATGGTACCTGACCTACCAGAACAGCTCCCTGCTGAAATCTTAAATTCAAAGAACCCCGACTTTCCATCCACAGTTCACTCCCACTTTACCTGTTCTTCAGCCTCATCAAGATCAGTTTCTTGAGCCCTTCACTTTCTCTTGGTACACTTGCCTCCTGCTGATCTATCTTCCTTCCCTACCCAGATTGGACTCCAGATACCTCAACATTTGAACCACTTTCACCAGCACCTTCCATATCTTTGCACCTTCATCCCTCTGCCACAACTGTCTATCAAAATCCCAAACCTGTATCAGTGCTACAGTCTGTCTTGTCTGTTCCTATACCCAGGTACTACATA